ATGCTTTTGTGTTGCCATTTTATTTTTTCTCATCCAATGGAAAGGGGTTCAAGTGTCTATCATCAGTCTCTCAGTGGGATGACTTTCTGAAAACTGAGCCAAAGAGGACCAAAGCTAATATAGTGGGATAATTCAGGAAAGGAAAGATCAAGTTTGAAAATAGACTGGGACTGTGGAGAATGATACTCCCAAGAAAAATTCTCCTCATTGGGAGACCGTTGGGCAGCTGCTTTAGGATATTATCAATTTCTGTATTCAGAGAAACGTCTCCTGCTCACAAACCCTTAAATTGAAGCAGCCTGCCTATATTTTCCAATATGTGCATATAGATAAATATCTCATAAAAACACCACTGGAAAGAATTCCAGTAGCTATGATGTGTATATTCTTCCCTCTTTATTTATATCCCAATTTAAAGACCACCAGAAAGAGACAAGAAATTTATGTCTGATCATTTACCTCACAAGATGAACAAAAAACCAATTGCCTCTGGGATTTTCTGGAGGATAGAATTAAAACAATGGCCTTAATGTTCATAACCTCCAAAGTCTGTACCATCTACTCTTTAGCTTTTGTTTCCCTCTCAAGAGCAATATTCTCAGGTTTTCAAGAACGTTTCAGGTTTTTCCTAGGTTGCTTGGCATATTAGTATGTGTGTTCTGGATTAGATTACTTTGTATTTGGTTACTCTCGCAACATTTTGTTTAAAATGGTAGATGAAAACAACACAAATTTATGTGCCACTTCTGGCCTTTGTGGGGTTTTTTTTTTCCTCATTACTTTAGTGCTGAAAGACCCAGACAGCAATCCTTATAGCTTACTCGATAACACAGAGTCTGACCAGACTGCAGATACTGATGCAAGTGAATCGCATCACACCACGAACCGACGCAGGCGATCTCGCAGACGGAGGACTGATGAAGATGCTGCCTTAATGGATGGCATGACAGAATCTGACACGGCGTCAGTTAATGAAAATGGCTTAGGTATGTAAATCACTTGTAACAAAACCGAAGAGGTTCATACCCACAAACTTGTATAATTGTAACACGCTATTACAGTCAATTACTCGACATTTTCATCGTCACCACTCGAATTGTAATTTAATATAGTGTTAACTGTTTGCATAATTAAAGATGTCACTTACATGTAACCAAAACATTTGAGGCCATGTTCTTATAATTGCATTAAAATCCTTCTGGTTTGAACAGAACCGAGTTTACACCGCCGTGTTAGAACAACAGAGCATTTGTCTCAACAAACAAGTGTCCATTTTGTACCTACCATGAAGTGCAAAGTTGGTTCAGTCTTGAGGATTTTGAAATCCTGTTTAGAATAAATAAATGTAAACTTAACATCCATTTTATGTTTGGTAGGGCCTGAGTGATTTTGTTGCTTAAATTTGTGGAATTAACAGAATTAGAAGTAATTGAAGTCAGTAGGACTTCTTTGTGTGTAGGTGTCTCAGCATTCTGTAACTGCCATTTCATGATAATAGTTTATGCAAAGTACATCAAGGAGAAACATTTCTAATAAGATGGGGAAATGATTCCTTGAACCAATGTTTAACTTTTGGTATCAAGATAAATTAATGCCAATTTAAACATGGTCTTATACGGTTGCTACTCCACTTGCAAGTATGAAATAGGGCTTTTTCTTTCTGCTTTGTGCTGAGAAAAAATATTCATCTGTAAGATGGTTCATGCCTCAACTTTGCAATTGCAGATGATAGAGACAAAAAAACCCAGCGACGCAATCGTAGTCGCAGGCGTCGCTTCAGGGGTCAGGCAGAAGATAGACAGCCAGGTAACTTAAGTGGAAAGGTGGCCCACCTCAGGTCACAAGCATGAAGGAATGCTCCATGTCTGTTTGTGTACCTCTAAAGCGTGTGAAGTGCCTTTTGTAAATAATTACTTAACTAGACTACAGGCTGAGAAATTACTAGTTACTCATCTTCCAGTAACTAACATTAGTGTCTTATAAACTGGTCATGCTCCCAGTGCAAGCATCATTAAAATGGAATGATTTGTAGATGTCAGAATGGCAATATATGCCATAATGAAAGCAACACTGCCTGGTGAGGCTCATTTCTGGCAACTACTTGTTAGTAGGAATGTTGGCCAGCTTATTAATACTGCAATAAAACATGAAGTGACTTGCATGGTATTTGCCTGTCTCTCATTTTGAATCAATACGATCAGCATTTCAAGGACAATAGAAATCGCACAACTGCTGTAAAGCAAAAAATAGTTGCATGTTCTGTCTGCCATTGTGGTTTGATGCATCTTTAAATATGTACTAACATCTTAAAAGTGCAGATTTTAGTTTCCAGAACAATCCATGTTTGTTGCATTTGTAAATATCTTGCATTTGCTAAACAAGTTCAAGAACATTAATGTGTCCTCTAATATGTTTCTGTAGAGTTCAAAGGCTTATGAACATTTGAGTACAATTAAAAATGAAATGGATTTCACACCACAAAATGCTATAGAATAATAGACACATGATATTGATCAGTTAACCACAAAAATCCTTTGATGGATAATTAAAAATTGCTTTCTCAATCTGCTCCTGATGGTTTCACTTTAATTCTGGAGAACTGCAGTATGACTTCACTGGAGAAATATAGTAATCAAAAATATTACACCCATAGGGATCCTTAACAAATTAAGGCAGTATGCTTTTTGATCAATTAATCTTAAATTCTGAGAGAGATAATGACAGCCACTGCTGGGAAGTATTTTCATATATGCTGCATATTTTTGGCCATATGGTGAATTTTATTAGTTACACCTTGTACATCACACAGAACTCATTTTAATACCTCTTTCTTCCAATTCTTTTCCAATACATTATATTGGAAAATATAGTTGCTATATGGAGTCAAATGAGCCAAGGTACTCTCTGTCCTAAGAATACTTTTCTCCAAAAGAAAAAAGATTTTTAAGACTTTTATTTGTATCCTGCCTTTAATTATTTCTATAAATCACTTAAGGTGGTGAGATTGGTTCCAACCCGCCAGACCTTCTGCCAGAGACCTGATTCAGCCACTTGGCTTGGGGCTCCAATGGGGAGGGGGCTCCACCTTGGGGGTGACTGATAAATAACAGATCTCCCCCCCCCCATCCTGTTCCCTGCCTCCCAATCTTTTAGTTAGGGTTGAGTATATTTTTATAGTATTTGATTTGTATTGAGTATAGGATTTGTGTAGTTTTATCCTTTTAACATTGTAAGTCGCCTAGAGTTACCATATGGTAAGATGTGTGGCCAATAAATAAAATAAAATAAACAAAACAAAACGTGTGATCTTCCTATTTTCCCCACAACAACCCTGTGAGGTGGGCTGGGCTAAAAGGAGGATTAGCCAAACCCAGCTGGCTTTCATGGCTAAGGTGGGATATTAATGCCCCTTCAATTTTTCCTTATATATTTCTCACTTCAGAAAAAAATGTTCCTAAATCTAAGAACATCCTTCGAAAAGATCTCTTTGTGCTCTATATCCATCTGCTTCAAGTCTCTCACCAGTTTGGATTAAAGCATGTTTTTTTTTAAAAAAAATCCTTTTCTAGGTTTCTTTTCCAAATCTGGACCATCTTTCAAATCTTCAGTACCTTTAAAAATACCTAACACCCCCCCTCCTTTCCCAGGAAAGTTGTAGAGTTCTCCTTTGATAATAAATAAGGCAAAAATATTTTGAAACTGGCTTTTTAAAAAAAAAAAAAAAACAGGTCAATATGGATTTAATTTAAATTAGCTCTATGAAGCTTCAGGATTAATCATTAAGTCTTTCTATTTTGGAGGGCCTCAAAAGATGACTGAATTTGTATAATATGAGCCTTGGAACATAAAAGGATAAACATAATTTATCCTTTTCGATTGTTAACCAGGAGTTGGATATTTCCTAAACGTAAAAGTCTGAAAATCTTTCTCCTTACAGTTACAGTTGCTGATTATATATCAAGAGCAGAATCTCAGAGTAGACAAAGAAACCTCCCAAAGGAAACACTGGCTAAAAACAAGAAGGAAACGGTAAGAAACATATCAAAGTACAAACTAATACCTAGCTAGAGGGGGCACAATGGCTCAGTGCTTTAGAAGCTGAGGTTGTCAGCTGGAAAACTAACAGCCTAGGTTCCAGACATGACAGAGTGAGCTCGTAAATAAATAGCTACCACTTTGGTGGGAAGGTAACAGTGTTCCGTGTTTTTGCCATACATTCTGTGCTGCAGTATGATGTCATACTGGAAATGTCTTTGGTATGTGGTATGTCATCATATGGAAACGTCTTTGGACAATGATGGCTGGCTCTCTTGGCTAACAGAGTTGGACACAACTGGATAGGGAAACCTTTTATCTGTACATAATACCTACATATGAATTTACTTCCAAGATTATGTAAATTACTACATCTATCTGTAGGTACTGAAAAAGGTTTGCCAATCTGGAGGGCTCTATAAAAATAGGAAAATTATGTTACAAATTTATTAGCCAATTTAGACAACTTCTGTTAAGAATATCTTGCCCTAATCAGATTCTCCAGCTTTCTAAGAATGGCAGCTTAAGGCAAGAATGCAGTTTATGTCTAGAAATAATTAATAATTACCTACCTTGTTCATTTAAGTGTTTTCAACTGGATTTTAGGAATTATTTAAATAAATAGGTACTACAGATAACTGGGTATAACATCCACTATTACACGTAAAATGTTCATCATCTCATCTTTCTAAAATTAATACCTTCTGTGGATTTTCTTATGAAGTCTGAAATTGGGGTGGGGGGTGTATTAATTATGCTGTAATGATTCACAGTTCTCTCGTCAACAATTTTTTTTTTTTTTTTTGTCCTTTAAAAGGTGAAAGAGGTGATTGAAGAGGTTGGCCTTTCTGAAAAAGCAGTAAATGGCCCGGCAGTGGTTTCTGGGACTGAATCTTCCAAGCAGCAACATAGTCCTGAAGAAAAGCCTAGTACTATACAAGAAGACGGAAATAAACAAGAAGAAGCTGTGTTGAATGGTGTTTCATAAACAAGAGTTCCTAGTTTACAGTTCTTTTACATTACATTTTACAATAGTGCTTGTATAAGCTTGCCAAAGATAGAATATGGATTGCGAGTCTTGACACCGCACTTTCAGTTCCTCCATTTTGGAAAACAACAGGGAGGGATCCTGAAAAAAAATCCAATGTTGAACATACTTTGACACCTACTGTGTTATAAATATCATCAGATGTGCCTTGAGAATAGTATATGTAACATTTAAATAAAAACAAATTGCTGGCTATAGGAAACGTTATTTTGTTTTCAAAATATGACAGATGTGGGGGGCGAATCCCTAACATAACCTACTTTATGAAAGCATTAGCTGCTTTTATTACATTTTTAATAATATGCAACCACTTCTTCACCTGAGGGAAAACTAGAAAAAAAAATGCAGTCTAAAATATTTTGCACTGAATTGTAATTTCTCCATTAGTTTAGTCTGGAAACTGGTCTGTTTTAATACATGTTTTTTAAATGCTGTATGTAGTGGGGGAAAACTGCAGACCACTGGAATACATTTATTAAATTCTCAATCTGCAGGGATATTGGGTGACATTGGCAGTGACTGTTCTACATTGAGGCTTTGTTTGATTTATTTATTAAACTGTACAGTATTTAAAAATCAAACATAGCTTTAGTTAAAACACTTAATTCTGAATTAGTCATGTCCATTAAGATAACCAGAACTACTGAAAAGATCAATTTCCAGAAAGTTTATTCTGTATAAACTACATATGTTAGTCCTTAGAGTATTTTTATTTTTGGTTGTTTGATGTGCAATATGTTTTTGTATGCTGGTAGAAAAATAAACCTTGATCTTCCATTGGTTGATCCTTAAACATTTGCTAGTTATTTGTTCTACAAGGGTTGGACATAAGTACTCATGGAGACATTACCTTTGAATGAAAGAATATATTGTCATTTTCTGAAAGGTTTATGTAGCTGGCAACACTGTTCCTCATTTAAGTTGCAGATCTAAATGTCTTTCCTTTTTACCGGTTATTTCATAGAAAGCAGTAATAGGACAATTTAGGAAAAAAATGGTAAAATTCAATTCACAATTGGATTCTCTCCGATTTATATTTTTGATCCTAAAAATCCTGGCATTCTAATTAGATATCCCATAACACAGATTTTATCTCGAGAGCAAGTCTGACTTCATTTTCTGATGTAGCACACAGAATGCATTGCTTTTGCAAAAAATCAATCAATCAATCAATCATTTTTTTCAGAGAAACATCATTAGAACTGTCACAGAACCTCTTTTATCATGCTTCTCCCCTGTAGATTAAGAAAAGCTTAGCCTTTGGGTCATTCTTATTGCTTAGCATTCCCTATAGCTGTGAATCACTGCCTTGCAGTTCCTGCCATATTCTTGCCACTATAATTTCAAAAGCCTGCTCGCTGCCATCTGCCATCTAGGTTACTGTTACTACTACTACTGGTACTACTTCTCATTGTCTACTCCATGTTTTTTTTTTGTCCTTTGTAAGAATTGGTGTATCCTGCCCATGACCCTCTGATGTGTTTTTTTAAAAAATCCAAAGTATTTAATGTTTATACCATGCAGAAAACTGGTGATAATTATTTTGGAAAGGGAGAGTTTACTTATGCTAATAAATTTGTGAAGCATTTCTTTTTATTTAAAGTCATTATATCTCCTAGATTTCTTCAGGGTAAGGATGCCAACTTCTTTCAACACTTCCTTCTAGAATCTTGTCTTCTATCTTATCATTTAATTCTGCTTCAATATGTTCTGGCCAACATCCTTCTTAAATATGTCAATTATAAATGGTCTCTATTCTAAATGTAACTTGATTGAAATACTATGTTTGCAACAGTAAATTTTTAAGATTCATAGTAACATTTTTTTAAAAAAAAGTATTTCTATTAGCACAGTCTGCTAGTGATCCATTAAGATACCTAGCTTGAATTGCCACCTAACTAGATTTCTGCTACCTTAAAATTATGGAGGTTCTCTGCAAAAAAAGTCATTTTAACTGAACTTCAAGTTAAAGCTTCAAATCTATTAAAAATTCTTTTTTCTTATACTCATGACTACATAACATAGCTTTAACATTAGCAATAACATTTCTTTAGCTTCTTGCAGGTAATTTATGTGAGTTTGATACTTTCCTAGCTCTTCCTCTAGGTTGAGACAGAGGAATTATTAAGTAGCGTATGGTTAACCAGCTGTTACACTACCAAGGAATAAATAATGCTGTTCGTATTTTACTATTGTACCAATAAGGATATCTGAGACAATGTTAATGGATTTGTGAAAAATAGTTGTTGACCACTGAAATATAGGTCCAGATTCAGTATATAGTTTAGTGCAGGGGTCCCTAACACCCAGCCTGCGGCCCGCTACCGGGCTGCAGCTTCTTCAAAAACCAGGTTGCGGGAGAAATGGGCAAGCACGTGCATTAGGTTCCACTTGTGGGAGTGGCAGGCAAACTCCATTCACATGGAGCTTTGTGCACAGATGCAACTGCGTGCCATTTGCGTGAGTGGAGCTTGTGGAAGAGTGCAACTGCAGGCTGCTTGTGTGAGTGGAGCTTTGTGCGCAAGCACCCTCTGCTTATGTGCAAAGCTTCATTCGCAAGAGTGCACGTGCGTGCACCGCTTGCACAAATGGAGGTGTGCGCATGCCTGCCACTCACCCTCCCAAGCCGCCAAACTGAAAACATTGGGAACCACTGGTTTAATTTTATTTCTTGATCTTATGTGCAATATTCTTCCATTCTCCTAATGGTTGCCATGCCTCCCTGTTTCCATGTGCTCTTTCACAGAACTATTCTGTCTTCTTTCACCCTTCCTAAATATTGGAGATAGCTTGTTCAGGTTTTTTGTAATTGTATTTCTTCCTATACTTCAGCAGGTAGGCACAAATACGACATCCATACTACAAGTGACAGAAACATGGTACCATGAAGACGACAAAATTGCTCCAGATAGCTTCCTAAATATCTCCAGATCCCTTTGGGAAGAAATCTATCATTTTATGTATTTATATTTATGACTGTTGATGCTGTGTCTTGAATTCTGCCTAAAATGTAAAATATAATATAATTATCTCTAGATGAATCTGCCATCTCCAAATACTTCATATCCTTCCCTACTAGAGTCCCGCAGAAAAATTCCCAGAGCTACTCACTCAAATGTAGAATTCCAAGAGCTGTCCTATAGAGCTTCTTGCTCTAATTAGGTTCAATTATGGACCATGCAACTCGAGTTGATCTGGGTAACAAATGAGGCAACCTCCAAGATAAAAAAAAGTAAAAAAAAAGCATACAGCTTCCAGAGTAGGTTGAGCAATATGTTTTGTAAGCTACAGAAGGCTTAAAACATAAAAGAACAGAGTTTTAGAAGCCACAAAATCAATTAAAATGCCTCAATAAAACTCTTTTTCCCCTCCATTTAAACGGGGGGGGGGGGAATTCTAGCTTACATCTAAGACAGAACATTATTCACAATACTTAATACTTGGATTTTTAAAATCCATGACAGCTTCAAGCCAATTTATTTCCCATTTTAATAGTCTTGAAATGTTCACAAAGGCAGGTGCCATTATCTTGGTATGAAGAATTGAAAACTTGTTTTAAAAGCTCTTATTAGAAAGTTGGAGACTACCAATTAGGTTCTCATTCATGAATGGCTGTTTGACCAGCAGGAAGGTATAGACCATCTTACAAGAGTGACTGTTCTATAACAACACTTTCTTATGCAGTCATATAAAGAAATACTGTATGAATTTTATTGCTCAGCAATCATGGTAATAAAAATCATTTTTGAAGAATACTGCACCATAATTCTATGATAAAATAATACAGCTGTTCTCAGCTGAGAAATAAATTACTTTAAAATATTATTAAGCCTCACAGGTGTTTTCAGCAGAATCTTGGATGTTTGCACTTATCCTGCTAATTTTTTAATCTAAAACGATAACAGTGAATTTCAGATACTACTATCTGATTAATTGGTTCTGTACAAAGCTTGCACTTCATTAAAAGTGCATCAGAAGTTGTGGTTGACATTAATTTCTGAAAATAACCACAGGGAAGGATGTGCCCTACATCAAAACGATTTCCTTTTGGCATGTATGACAGCTTCATTTGTCAATTTTCTTTGGGCTATTTTGAAAATATATTCTAATTGTTAAGTCAGTGATGAGTTTTCATTTCTTAGCTTGAGTTTCCAGTAAATCCTTAGCTTCATTAATTTTGGCTGCAACATAAGGAGACCCACCTGGTAAAGAGGAAAATACGGTTGTCATGTTCACAAGACAGAAATTATTCCATTATTCTGGTAAATGAAGTATATGTGATCAGTGAACTGAATATTCAAAATAATAAAACAGTCATTTCAATAATAAAATGGTCCACATAAAAAAACATTTAACTATATTAGCAGCAGTAATGAAACAATAGTGTGCCAGGCTTATCAGAAAATACTAGTTTTTCCCTCGTGCATGCACAACTTTCAAATAAAAAAATTAGGAAAATAGAACTCAAAATATCTAAATTCAATTCTTAAAATGTTCCCATGCAGCCCCATAGGACAGTCTCGTTTTACATGAGCCATTTAACATATTAACATCTGATTTACCTTTATCAGGATGATTCAAAAGCATGACTCTTCTATGCGCTTCTCTGATTTTTGCTTTGTTAGCTGTAGGACTAAGTTTATTTTTTAATTAGATAATTTATAACTAGGAAAAATATCAAATATCAGCCAGATTATTATTAAAAACACCAAATTACTGCACCTATGTCAGTTCACTACCTCATTTCACAATATGACTATTAGGAGGAAGAATGATATACTGTGTTCTTGAATTTTACAGTTTGCTTAAGAGATATTTGCAAGCTACGTTATTTTTTGTGATAATCTAGCAACAAACAAATGGCTTATTCTGATTGTTCTGCAATTATACATAGAAATAAACTTATTCCCTCCCCTCCCCCATTGTCTTAATTAGGATAGTAAAAAAAATCAGATCCCTTATTACACCACCCAGTTATTAAACTTTTGCTTAATTGACTGGGTGACTTACAAATGTGACAAATCTGTTCGCTTGAGAAAATAGCATTCAAAATTTTATAGAGCTGTGGTGATGCAGTGGGTTAGAATACTGTATTGTAGGCTAACTCTACCCACTGCCAGGAGTTCGATCCTGATCGGCTCAATTCAGCCTTCCATTTTTCTGAGGTCAGTAAAATGAGGACCCAGATTGTTGGGGGAAATATGCTGATTCTGTAAACGGCTTAGAGAGGGCTGTGAAGCAGTATGTAAGTGCTATTGCTATATACCTCATCATAGTGCTTTACAGCGTTGTCTAAGCAGTTTACAGAGTCAGCATTTGCTCCCAACAATCTGGGTCCTCATTTTATTAACCTCAGAAGGATGGAAAGCTGAGTCCACCTTGATCCGGTCGGTATCCAACTACTGACAGTCGGCGGAGTTAGCCTGCAATACTGCATCTAACCACTCCACCACCACTTTAAATGCTATATAAGTCTAAGTGCTACTGCTATTCTAGAGCAATCTGAACACTTTGCATCCCTATATCCAGTCACTATCTTGGAGACCCTGTCATTAACAATACTGAACATAAAATTGGCTGTTACATTCTGATCAGAGTTACAGCCTGTATGATGCAAAAAGATTACCATAAGCTTTTTATTATTCAAATCATAGCTACAAAAATTACACCAACTAACATGTTTCCCATTCTTTTCTTATACAGTTTTCCCTGGAAAATATTCCTGTGATTTTTAATTTTAATTTTACCTCACTCCTAATATTAAGGCAGCTTCCCGCTTGTTCATTTTGCTTTCGAATCCACCTCTGTAATAGCCACTGAAGGCCTGAAATTAAAATACATTGTTATTACGAAAGCATTATGCTACCAATAAGAAATTAAAGATGCACATCACTCAGTTGTGGCAAATAGAAAATACACCATCCAATTACATACAGCATTGCCAAAAAGTAGAAGAGACGACACAATTTCTTACTTTTAATGTCCTCCCACTTGGCTTAGTTCATCATTACCAACTAATCATTTTTTTTCTAGCATGAGACAAAAATATTTCTATAAAACTCAGCAATTATTTTTAATTAATTTGCACACCTTAATAAACACAAGGCTTATAATGGGCAAATTTGGGATCTCATAATCCAATGCATTGAACTGTTTCTGTCTCATATCCAGTGGTAAGCAAAGAAGAAAATGATATTGCAAAAGAATACGGAGTTAAAAACAAACTCACTGTTTTTGGCAGAGATTGCAGAGTTTGCTTTACTTGCGGTTCCATTTGCTTCATTGCTTGCAGCGCATAGCGACCTTGAAGGAAAGAAAACATTCAATTTCAGCTATTTAGATTTGAGATCTGCAGAACCTGTAGACGCAACTAGACAATCCCAGGCCAAAATGGACAAAATGTAATGCTTCCACAGAAGCTTCCTACTACTGCAATAGGCTGAAGAGAGTGTAAACAGACATCCAGTACTTCCTATCCCACTGAAAGGATTTATTCTCCCCCCCCACCCCCAGCACTCAGGCTACTAAATCCCAGGAAGGGCTGCATACACCACTCTCAAAATTATTTTTCCCTCTGCCTTGCACAATCTAAATTCTATTTTAAAGGTCCGAGTACCATTTACTGATGCAATTTTAAAAAAGGCAATATATTTTAAGAATTTCACAAAGTCAACAATAAATAATCTAAATTAATGATTACTTAACAGGGGTACTAAACACATCCCTTAAAGAACCATTTATGTTATGTTTGGGCAGCAGAAACAAAAGAGCAAGGCAGATTCTCTTTATGGTGTTCCTTTCTTTCAGAAAATCAAGTTTCAAGTAATTTATATATACAAAACAAAGACAGCTGTGGTATTGTAATGCGAGAATACACCTGCAATAGAATTAAGAGAAATGCCTAACCCAGGGAAGTGTGCAGGGTGAGAAACGTCAGTTTAAAAAGTTGTCTTGAAAGGGAGATAAAAGTCAGTGGGATGAATGAAATTTCACTAGCGTTACTAATGCTTTTAGTATTACCAAGTTTTGTGATTGTCCATAGCTTTCATGGTAGACATTTTATAAATGGTCTGTCCCCTTCATAATGGTCATTTTGTAATACCTTTGTGGTACTTGGTCAGCATTCCAAGTATGATTCTACCCCACGAGAATGGAAATCCCCATAACCTGGCCATCAGCTTCCTCTGATGTGATAACAAATTCTGAGAGTGTATATCATCTTTTCATATAGGATACTGTACAAGCACAGGTACCTGAGGATCCATCCTCTCTTTTGAAGCTGGACAATTTATTGTGGATGCAATACAATGAGGGCTGTCATTTAAGTCAGTGGTCACCAACCGGTGGTCTGCAGACCACTGGTGATCCGCAGAAAAATTTGCATTTTTTATATTGCACTAAACACTTTATTTTTTTAAAAAAGTCATATTAGTGGTCCGTGGGATTTAAAATTATGAATTTAGTGGTCTCTGAGGTCCGACCCCTGATTTAACGAGACCCCAAGGCGACCCTTGATTTAAGTAATTCCCTAGATTAGAGCACTTAGTTGATATTTCTCATCCTGGTGAAGGTGTTAACCATATTTTAAATCATTTTGATCCAAACTCCAGATTTCCATGTGCAAGCCATAGGCAGAATTATGTCCAATAATACAGCTGTAATTCAAACAGATTAAGTCGTACAGAGCCAATTTACAAATTACATTAAGCCGTAATGTAGTATGGCTATGTGAACCTTACTTAACAAATGTTGAGTCAGTCAATAAACTACGGTTAGCAAATCAATGTTTTCTGCAATATGTGAGCCTACATTGATGATATCTATTTTAAACATAAAAGCATCAAATCCGGCATCACAATAACAAATGTGATATGAAATGAAATGTATCAAATAATATTAGCAATATTTGGCAAAAAAAAAATGTGCCACTGAAGCCATTCACACAATCCACTGTCTTTCTGTTTATTAAACCATCCAAAATAGCCTTGTAGACAGACGCTTATGTTTCCCAACATTAGACTGTAATACTACTATCCATTATAGAGTACATATTTAACATAAGCAGAAATAAAGCAAGCTTTCCAAGAACAAACCTGCATAACCAGCAGCAGCTATTGTCAGGCCAACTACTATCATAGTACCAGCCTAAAAGAAAGGAAAAAAGGAATAAAAATGAAATATTAACGTCAGAACATTTTGCTTGTACACTATCAGTGAAAAAGATTTTTTGAATACATAAAAGTGTAACCAAATATCTGAGACAAAGATTGCTTAAACATTATACAGGTCTTCAAGTTGGCCATTTTCAATTCCATGCATTTGAAATCATACTGAATTTACTGTGTGGTGTGTGTGTGTGTGTCTGAGAGAGGGGGGGAAGGGAGGATAATTAGGAAAGTCATCTTGAAACCTAGATTTATATGGTTAGTGAAACATGAATACTGTACTTTACTTTTAAAACTAGGACACAAAACATTTTGGTATTTGTTCATTCCTTTTTGACTATCAGAGATATTCTATAATTCAGAAGCTTCTATTATGCCAATTTCCAATCTTATATAGGTACTGTAATGAATAACTTCACCAATGGGATTTTACTTTAGTGTCTTCTACCAACCTTTTGGAGCAAACCTTTGGTGCATGTAGGTATTGCAAACGTAAGTGACAGCTAGACAATCAATTTAATTGTTCTATATTGAAATAACTGCATATGTATAAGAAATTCAGCTCTTAAAAGTTCTCAGAAATCTTAAGAGTTATTTTTATTCCAGCTGGATAAAATAGCATTTTAAAAATAAAAACATTGTTCCTAAGAAGATTTTTGTTTATTTCTCATCATAAAATACTTATTAAAATACAAGTATCTATTAATTCATGAATTAAGATACTCATGAGTTAAGAACATACTTTCCAGGGTTCTTTCACTGTATATATAAAAATGATTTTATGTTGTCTTTTCCAAAATAATTATAGCAGCGAGCAATCAATGTTATTAATTTTAAGCCATAAATGTTCCACAGGTAGTTCTCATTTATATGTTTAGGCAGTCTCATGGGAAATACTTATTTCTCATGCAAGTTAATAATCTATATTTGAAGTTATATCAGAAATGAGATAAGCAACGTTCCTAAAATTACATCATTGTAGTTTTTTTTTTAATCAAGTATTATAGCACAGCAGAAAACAACTTTCCTGCAGCTACGCAAAAGTCCTAAATAGGAAATATTTTATATCTAAAATTTAGTAGGATGAAGTTCCAGTATATTATTTCAATATATTTTATTTATGTACCGTCTAGTTCATTTCAGTGGGGGTAAAATAGAATAACTCTGGGAGCTGTGCAAATGCAATCAGTTTGGGGCTTTTTAATTTTGCTCTTAAAAGATTGTGGCTTATATCTCAAGAGTATTACAGCTCTATTGTATCTAGCAGATGGTACACTTGAATTTTATTTAATATATTTTAGCCACTTTTTCAAGATCATACTTTCTCCAAAATATTTAAAAATATAAAATAGTAAAAATCAATACCAACTATAAAGAACTCTGGCATTTAAATAATTTTAAAACAATTACTTTAAATAAAATGCAAGTTCAAATATTTATCAGCAACAAATGTAGCAATTTAAAAATGAAAGACAAAGAGAAAAAAATGCATTTTAATGCCCTTTTAAAATGCTGCCAGAGATGGGACTATCCATCTTCTCTTGAATGATGGAGTATGTGCCCTATCACCTGCTAACCTTACATATTTATATAGTGATTTGGCGAATATTGCTTCCAAAGATGAATAAAGCTCAAATCTGTAGGCAGTCCTTGAAATATCATGGATTTAAGTGAATTACACTTTATTATTATGGTTATACATTTATGCTAGCATTTTGAATTCTGCCTGGCCATCACAGTAGTACTTGGATGCATGGGATATGACCATTGCTACAGTATTATCTGAGTTACAAGAAGAGGAAAATTGGATACATTATGTACCAGAAGGTTCTAAATAGTTTTCAAAAACAATCACATACATGTGCAGCACATTACAGTAATTCAAATTATGCCAGCTTTGCCTAGACATGAATAGATAACAAACTCAACTATGTCATGTCCAGGTATCACAAACAGGACAGAGGAACTAAACTTGGGTTTGGAAAGTAAACACATTATGTACTATGGTATATTTTCAACATACACTTTTAATATAAACTGGTCGAAGGTGTTCTCATACTACCAATCTCCCAAATCTTGCACATGCACACACAGCAGTCATGATCTGGAAATTGAGTCATGGCAACTGAACTTCTTTTCTTGTTGGTTTGAAACATTTCACTGCTTATCCAAGTAGCTTTTTCAGTCTGAGCAAATTGGTTAGGAGGAATCTCATATATATCCTCCAGGGAGGTTTTATTTCTTACTTAATCTGGATAGGCTCAATAGGTGAGTAGGCAGAGAGGAGTTGAGTAGTTTCGACTCCTAAATCTTTTACCTTAACTCCTCTCTGCCTACTCACCTAATGAGCCTATCCAGGTTAGGCACTAAATGAAACCTCCTTGAAGGACATATATTGGGTGTCCCTAACCAACATGGCCAGATTAAAGAAGCTACTTGGATAAATAGTGAAATATTTTGAACCAACAAGCAGTCCAGTTGCCGTGACTCAACTCTGACAACTCTATCTGGTTGACTGAGAACCTTCCACACAGAAACTGTGAATTAACTAAGTTTTATTTAATAGCCCAGCAGATGGCAGCACCTAGCTGACCTTGACTAGGTGCTGAAAAATTAGTTAAGGTTTAACCTGGTTAGTGCTTCAGTTATGTCTACAAAATTGAGACAGTCATCTGATTAAAAGACAGCAAAGAGATATAGAAAACTCTCTTTATCCTCTGAAGCAACCATATTTTGCAGCCCAGATTTGGTATTCTTATTTTGAAGTCCACCCCAAGGAAAAGCAAGACTATGAAGTAGACTGGGAAGTTGGGTAAAAAAAACCATTCCTTTAAGGATATGAAGAAATCCAAGGGAAAAAACCTTTTAAGATAGTGACCTATGAAACCAACAGAAAACTCTGTACAGCCAATCCTACATCTGAAGGTGAGATATAGAGAAGGTTACTGATTTAACCATAACTACAGTTCTATGGAAACCTTAACAGAGATTGAGGGAGAAGTAGTGGATGGATACTGAATTTCTCTTCTTTAACATTTAAGTTGCCCAAGTCTTTTGATGGACAGTAAAAACTTTAAAATAAATGCAATGACAAGCCATTCTTATATTATGGCCAAAAAAACTACAAAGGTGGCTACAGCCATGTTTAAATTTACCAGCTGTTGGAGATGGCTTAATTTCAGCAATGAATAAATCCCACACTTCAGGTTCTACTCCAGCCACAGTATTTATTCAGTAATAACATAACATTGGCTGTTCTAATCCATTCTGTAACATTGTACTGGACAGAGAAAACCTTACTTGTAAGGGAAGATATTTCCTCAAAACTGAGCTCATATGCCTTATTTCACAGAAAAGGAGTTTATCCAAATGCTTCTTCCAGGTAGTCTGAATGGATGATTTAGTAAAAGATGGTCCTGCAGGTACCTGTGAACTTAAGACTTCTTAGGCATGGAAGCCAGCTGGTAACATTAGGCTAATCACCAGTAGACTGTGAGTTCTAGTCTCTCCTTAGCTAAGAAAGCCAGCTGGATGACTTTGGGCCAAACACCAGGAGACTGTGAGTTCTAATCTCACTTAGCCTATTAAAATCACCTGGATGACTTTGGGCCAATCACCAGGAGACTGTGAATTCTGGTCTCACCTTAGCTAAGAAAGTCAGCTGGATAACTTTGGGCCAATCACCAGGAAACTGTGAGTTCTAGTCCCTCCTTAGCTAAGAAAGTCAGCTGGATAACTTTGGGCCAAACACCAGGAGACTGTGAATTCTAGTCCCTCCTTAGCTAAGAAAGCCAGCTGGATGACTTTGGGCCAATCACCAGGAGACTATGAGTTCTAGTCCCTCCTTAGCCAATGAAAGCCAGCTGGGTGACTTTGGACCAGCTGCTCTCTCTCAGCCCACCCACCCCCCTTCCTTCACAGGTGGTTGTTTTTGGGAGAATAGAACAAGGAAGGAGCATTACCTATGTTGAGTTGATCAAAAACATACAAAAAAGGCAGGGATAACCATTTAACCCACCAACATTGGGGCTAAGAATCAGCGAAAAACTGATCAGGGATAACAAAGCAGGCCAGGATATTCACCCATATTCAGAATCGTGGTTAAACAGCGCTGCACATCCTCAGGGAAAGGGCAAGCCCGCCACCCCCAGAGGCATCCCAACCAATTATTCCTCATTTTTAGCTCCATTTTAAGTTCTGCTCTGAGGAGAACATCACAGGGATGGCCTAAAGCAGTGTTTCTCAACCTTGGTAGCTTGAAGATGGGTGGACTTCAACTCCCAGAATCCCCCAGCCAGGGATTCTGGGAGTTGAAGTCCACCCATCTTCAAGCTACCAAGGTTGAGAAACACTGGCCTAAAGGAAGCTGAAACTCCGTGCAAATCTCTCCTGGGCAAAACCCCTCTCGACAAAGGTGGTTTATTTCGGCCTTGCGCCTTCCTCAGCATCCAGGCGTGCCGGGACTACAACCCCCAGGATTCCCGGCTAGAGCACGACCACGCCCGAGATTCCCACAGAAAAGCCAGGTAAGGGAAGGCCGTGAGGGAGGGAGGACGGTTCAAGGTCACCGTCCCCACGCACTCACCATGCCTGCCGCGCTCCTTCACACGCCCGGCGAAGGGGAACCAAAAAAACGCGGGAAAACACCCGTGGCCCGCCCTCGCAAGAGGCTCAGCGGCCCCCCTCAGAAGCCCTGCCGTAAGCCGAGGGAGGGCCTGTCGTAAAAGCGCCCGCGCGCCCGCTCTTCCGCTTCTCGACCCCGCCCCTCCGGCAGGCTCCGCCCACCCAGGCGCGAATTCGAAGAGAGGAGCGAGCGCGCGGGCTCTTCCCCCCCCCCCGCCACACCCCTCCCCCCTCCCGAGGTGCCTGGAGGATGAAGGAGCCGCAGCCTCAGCTGGATCTCGCTTTGTCAAAGGATATGAACCGGGTGCAGCAGGTTTCCCCTCATCTGGTGCTTCCCTCACCTTTCCCCCCCCCGCCCCGCCCCCCCGAGTCCCAATATATGGGAATTGTCTAATGTACTCATGTATACGTTCGAAGTAGACGGTGATGTTTCTCTGAGTCATAAAATGTATGTGTGTCTCTTATGTGGGTTTATGCCTAATGGTTATCCCCAGAGAGCAGAAATGCGACGACATTTCATTTTAATGTAGGCTGATTAGTGTACATTTAAAGTGACAAAGTTCTATTCTTCCATTCCATTCCTCTATCCTATCCCCATCCTATCCTGTCCTATCCAATTTTCTATTCCTATTCCTATCCCATCCCATCCTAATTTTCCATTCCTATCCTATCCTATCCTATGATCCCATCCTATCCTATCCAATTTTCTATTCCTATTCCCATCCCATCCCATCCCATCCCATCCCATCCTATCCTATCCTATTTTCTATTCCTATTCCTATCCTATCCCATCCTAATTTTCCATTCCTATCCTATCCAATCCCATCCTAATTTTCCATTCCTTCCTATCCTATCCTATCCTATCCTATCCTATCCTATCCTATCCTATCCTATCCTATCCTATTTTCTATTCCTATTCCTATCCCATCCCATCCTAATTTTCCATTCCTTCCTATCCTTATCCAATCCTATCCTTCCAATTTTCTATTCCTATCCCATCCCATCCCATCCTAATTTTCCATTCCATTCCTATCCTATCGACGCAATTTTCCATTCCATTCCTATCCCATCCCATCCCATTCTAATTTTCCATTCCATTCCATTCCTCTCCTCTCTCCTCTCCTCTCTCCTCTCCAATCCAATCCAATCCAATCCAATCCAATCCAATCCAATCCAATCCAATCCAATCCAATCCAATTTTCTATTCCTATTCCATCCCATCCTAATTTTCCATTCCATTCATATCCTATCCTATCATCCTATCCTATCTTCTATTCCTAATCCTGTCCCGTCCCATCCCATCCTAATTTTCCTATCCTATCCTATCCTAATTTTCTATTCCATTTCAATTCCATTCCATTCTATTCCATTCTGAAGGCTGAGTGGTGCCATGGCTTAACATATTTTTAATTTTTTAATTTTTAATTGGTTTGTCATTTTAAACTGGGGCCAAATTAATATATATTCTTTTAATTGTTTTTAATGTTTGTATTGTATGTTTTTATCTGGCTGTACACCGCCCTGAGTCCTTTGGGAGAAGGTGCGTTATATAAATTCAAAATAAAATAAAATAAATAAATAAATAAATGATAGCTGTGTTTCAATATTTGAGGGCCTGCCCAAAGAAGAGGGGGCCTATTTTCTAAAGCACCTGAAGGCAGGACAAGAAGCAATAGATGAAAAATTACCAAGAAACCAACCTGGAAATGAGGAGAAATTTCCTGAGAGTGAAACAATTAATCAGTTGAACCTCCAAAAGTTGTGAGCACTCCAATATTAGAGGTTTTTAAGATTTGTCCAGAATTCTATAATACAGGGTCTCCTGCTTGAATAGGGGGGTTGGACTAGAAGACCTAGGTTCAACATGGAGACAGCATGGATCGTGCTTATTGATAATCTCTGGCCCAGATTTAGTGACTGTCTCGCAGTTACATTGGCGATGAAAAAATAACTATAGTGTTGTGGCCCGCCAGCAGCCTGCGCGGATCATGGCTGATCCCGACGACGTGGAGGCTGGTGTGGTGTCACGCCAGCAGCCTGCGCAGCCGGCGCTTGTGTCGGACAGCAAGGAGACTGAAGAGGAAGTGGTGCCAGAGGCAGAGACTCAGCCAGGGCCTTCAGAACCTCCAGAGGCTCCTTCCAGTGGAGAGAGCGAAGTGGAGGAGCCTCTTCTCAATGCTCGAGCACGCAGGGCTGCCAAAAAGCAGGAGTGGCTACTCAGGAGGAGGAGGTCTCCTCGAGAGTAAGGCTTGAGGATAATTGGCCACTCCCTTAGCCTATTTAAGTCACATGCCTAGTAAGTTTCTTGCTAGAAACAACTTGTAATTATCTTCAGAGCATTTTTTGAAAAGTCTTATCCTGTCTTGCTTTCTGGGCTGGTTGCCAACCTTTGCCGGACTTTGGTGTATTCTTGCTACTTAATAAATTTGATAAGGACCATTGGTGTGTGTCAATATCCTCTGGAATCCGGAGCTGGGGCAGAACATATGGCCAGTCATTACATTTTTTATTTTCACAAGTCTGTAAAGCAAAGGGAACAGAACAGACCATAATAACAGAGTTGGAAGGGACCTTGGAGGTCTTCTAGTCCAACCAATCATTAGCACAATCACAGATTTGGTTAGTAAGTGTTTCACTTAATAACTGAATAGCTACTCTCAATTGTGGTTGCTAAACGCGGACAACTTGTATTATAATAAATACAATCTATCTGGACAGTTTATTTAGTTTTGGACCAACAAGTTGTGTAGACCTGGCCATTGTGATATATAAACTTTGCTTGTGGGAAACCCGCAGGGAATGTCAGAAATTGTCATCACGTGACTATGGGGCTACAGTGACAGCCAAAACTCTGGGCCTGGTTGTAAGTCCGCTTGTTCAGAGCCAGTGTAACTTTGAACAGTCGCTGAATGAATGGACATAACCCAAGGACTACCCTTACATCTCATCTTTTCATCTAAAACCTCTTAAAGTATGATCCTAGGGCCCCAGGAGTCTTTCAAAACCTCCTCAGGGCTGCTTGAAATCAAAATTCTTTCCTACCTAAGGTGAAAAATAACTCACTATTAAAATTCCATAAAACAACTGAGGAGTGATAGCAGCAGCTAATGCATCAGTGGTGGGTTTCTACCGGTTCGCCCGGTAGTGGCAGTGGCGGGAGGCTCCGCCCACCCGACCGGATATCATCACGGACTCTCTGTCCATATGTAGAAGGTTCTGCGTATGTGCCCAAGCGCCACATGCGCTCACAGTTCCGAACCAGTAGCGAAGGTAAGTGGAATCCACTACTGTAATGCGTCCATTTTTAATTTTTAATGCAGTAAATATAACCCATACGAATAAAACTTTGTGGGGTCCTCCATCATTTTTAAAATTGAGAGAAAAAATGTAAACACTGATGTAGAAAAAATATGAAAAGAAGGCATGAAGTATCGAGATAAATAGAGAAGGGGAAGTCTAATCTTTAAACAGGAAAGCATACAATTATTCTGAACTTAACAAGTACATTTGTTCCTGGGAGACAGACATCACCATCCACTAAAGCAACTAATTTCGTTTGATCAGACTGTAATTTACACAGCATTAAATAAAATCCCGCCAGGAAAAATAATGTTGTAATGGAAATGAAACTTTGGGGTACAGTCAAGTGGCAAATACGTTTGCGTCTCCCTGCCCTCCAAATCCCCGTATTTTACATTGTTCTCTTGAACTATTTTACTAAAGCTAACAGGAGTAGCCGAACTGATCATCATAATTGCTAATACATGTAGTCCTCGACTTACTACCACACAACTGAGCCCAAAATTTCTGTTGCTAAATGAGACAGGTTAAGTGAGTTTTGTTCCATTTTTACAACCTTTCTTACCACCCTTAAGTGAATCACTGCAGTTGTTAAATCAGTGACCTGGTTGTTAAGTGAATTTGACTTCCCCACTGATTTTGCTTGTCAGAAGGTCGCAAAAGGTGATCACACGACCCTAGGGACACTGCAACCGTCATAAATATGAGCCAGTTGACAAGTGTCTGAATTTTGTTCCCATGTGACCATGGGAACACTGCAATGGTCGTCAGTGTGATCATAAGTCACTTTTTTTCTGTGTCGTTGGTAACTTTGGTCATTATATGAACTGTAGTAAATTCAGGATTACCTGTAGTTGGACCTGTCCACTTAGATAGGAGAAGATCCACAGGAAAACGTTGCTTCCCAGTTCCAATTCATGCAGAACATCCAGAAGTATGCCATGATA